ATAACTAGACCGAACTTTACAACTGAGGGGTCTTAAACACCTGGTTATTTAATCTTTCAATTAAATGAAATGGAAAAAATGTTCAAGTAAAATAATCTTTTTGAAATTTTTAATTAGACTTCTTCATTTGAAAAATGTTCAAAGCCTGACACTGTAGCTGTGAATTACTCATGATAGAACATCTTGTATGAAGAAAGACTTAAAAACTTACAACTTGTTCAATTATCACAGACTTTTTCTCTCCTCGCCCTTTCCCATTTTTTTTTTTTTTTTTTTTTTTTTTTTTTTTTTGGTTAAATCCATATACATACAAGAAGGAGGACTCTTGAAAAATTCAATGAAAATGCAAGCATTTTGGATATATAAGCTCTTTGACAGGATTTCTTTAATCTGTTCGATATGTTTTTGTGTTTTAATTAAATACATATATATTATATTCAAGTGTCCACCATGAGACAACAGGATATTAAAAGTGTAAATCTGCTATCTTTTAATTTTATGTGTTATTTATTGTAATTATATTGAAATGAATGTTTTTTTAATTAAATAACAATTTCTCTGAAGAAATCTATAGAGATTGATTTCAATCATTTTGAATTTTTTGCTTATAGTGGAAATTACTATTTTGTACTGTAAAAGTAAATTTTGGGGCATTTTTGCAGTCAGATCAATACAGATTTTCTTATTGATTGTTTTTAAGATTTGAAGTTAGAGGTACACATAGGATATTCAATGTTTCAAAGTTGGACATGAAATTTATTTTACAAGACCACCAGACAATTGTTGCAGGATTTTTAGATATTTTTTTCAATATGAAAACTGATAAATGATAATAAAAAAAAAGCAAATATCTCAATCATGACACAATTAAGTTCCATCTCCAACTACAAAACATTGAATTTTCTGTTAATTACATTTTCTTCTGTTTATTGTGATAGCTAGGTTTAGTTAAAGTTGTTATTTTCACTGTATATTTTTTTTTAAATATCAGTTTTCTTATTTAATTGATAAATTCAAGATTTCTGCACAGATGTTGAAATTTTAAGAAGATGTCTATGTTTTGAGATTTTAAAACTTGATTTACAACTTTGGTGTTAAATTTATAGTTATTGCATTTAGCTTTCAGTGAATTATCTGATATGTGAAATAAAGTTTCATCAATAAACATTTCTAAAATTGTTGTCGTTGATGTAGCTATAATTTTGAATACTCTCAGACCAATGACCAACAAACCAGTCAGTTGATTCATCTTGGGTGTTCAGAGAACATTGACCAAAAAGTAAGTCACTGTGACCTTTTTTATGGATATGTATGGCACGCCAAATTCACAAAAATGAGATAAACATAGTTTCACAGTCGATAAACTAGGTTTATCGGTTGTAAACTATAGTTTACGGACTGTAAACTACAGTTGACAACGTTAATCTATATTTTACAGCCGTAAACCATAGTTAATGCGATAATCTATGTTTCACAACCGTAAACTATACTTAACACTGAAAACAATCATTTGCGATTGCAAAACATAGATTATCTGATAAATACAGTTTCACGATTTGTAAACTATAGTTAGGAGTGAAACGGTTCACCGCGGTATTTTTTCTCGGTTCGATACACGTTACAAAATCTCTGCTTTCGGTTCATTTTACGGTCGGGATCGTCATTCAGTCGGGTTTGGCATAAGGTATAAACATGCTTTTCTGTATAATTAGTTCAGAAACGTAAGTTTGTGTGGACTTGAAGTTTGTAAAATAATTTTTAACAGTCAAATCAATTAAATTGATACATTCTATCCATTTTGCACATAAATTATTTTGCTAGATTAAGTAAAAGGTAGCATAAAACAACATTGAATCTGTTTCCTTCTATCAAAATGTGTCGTATCGAAAATAACCGAACCGAGACCAAATTTTTCGATACGTATCGAACCGTGAAGGAGGCGTATCGTTTCACCCCTAACTATAGTTTACAAACCGTTAACTATAGTTAACGATCTGATAAATATAGTTTCACGATTTGTGAAACTATGATTAACAACTCTTAACTATAGTTTACGATTGTAAATGTATAGTTTACATATATCTGTGTTTATCAACAAAATCTATTGTAAACACTTATTACAGAGAGATAAACTTAGATTATCATTCGTAAACTATTGTTAACAACCGTTAAATATAGTTTTACAGATGAAAACTATACTTAACGAATCGTTAAGTATAGTTTATGGTTTGTAAACTATAGTTTACAGTCGATAAACCTAGTTTATCAAATGTGAAACTAGGTTTGTCTCATTTTTGTGAATTTGGCGTGCCATAGATATGTTTAAGCTTCTCAGGTTACCATGACCTGACCGTGAGGTTGGCTTAGGATTTTCTGAGAGCGTCAACTAAAAAGTAGGTCACGGTGACCTTTTGATATTTTATGGCTATATTGAAGTATCTCAGGTACTTATTGTTATAATATCATATAACTTTGCCAGTTGATGCATCTTGGGTTTTCCAAGAATGTCGACCAAAAAGTATGTCATGTTGACCTACTTTTGAAATATATGGCTATATTTAAATATCTAAGGTACTTATTGGCTTATTTAAGAATCATCAAACTTTGTCAGTTGATGCATCTTGGGTTTTCGGAGAGCATCAACCAAAAAGTAGGTCAAAGTCAGGTCACTGTGACCTACTTTTGATATTCTATGGCCATATTGATGTATTTCAGGTACTTATAGGCTTAGAATCATCAGACATAATGCATCTTGAGTCTTCAGAAAATTTCAATCAAAAACCAGGTCACTGTGACCTACTTATGGTATTTTGTAGCAACATGTATATTTAAATATCTTTAGTCCTAACTGGCTGAGAATCATCAAACTTTGTCAGTTGATGCATCTAGGATCTTCAGAGATGGTCAAATAAAACGATGGTCATGATGACCTACTTTTGGAATTTCTAGGCATTGTTTGAATATTTCTTTTAATAAGAGTCTTAAGATAATCAAACTTTGTCATTTGAGAAATTTTTGGATCTCAGAGAAAGTTTACGAAAAAGTAGATCACTGTGACCTACTTTTGAAATCTCATGGCTATATCTTTATACTGTAAATGTATTATATTTGGCTGTGTATTCTATTTAGCGCCTTTCGCGGAAAGCATCATCCTCTAAACCAAGTACATCGCTAAATGTTTTGTTTTTATATATTTATATAAAGCTCATTCAGAAAGAGCTTATTCAAATCTAGGGTAACTTGATTAAAAATCAATTTTCGCCAAATATCGTACACGCCAAATAAAATACATTTACAGTATTTCATATACATTGTAATACGGGCTTAGAATCAGCACACTTTGTCAGTTGATTATCCTAGGATCTTACAATGTTTTAATCAAAATGTAGGTCATGATGACCTACTGTTGCAATTTCAAGGCTTTATATAGTCTTCAAATAAAAGTGATAGATTGTACAAGTTATCAGAAGAGCAATTCAAGGCCTTTTATGTTCTAAATTCACCAGTTCAAACGAACATAAATTATTTATAAATAAAACTCAAAAACACTTTATATAGGATGAGCTCGCATGCGCGAGTGCAACAGACTATAATGAAGTGTATACAGTATACAAAGCACAGTCTTTAGCTTAACTTCTGAAATCCAAATCATTCTACAAAAGAAAAAGAAACAAATAAAGCGACAGTCAACATTAAAACGAACTATGAGCATGACCAGGTAATTTTTTTGGATGAGTGAAAATGTGTAAGTTTTTGACCAAACTTGCATGTTTACCCTAAGGATCCAATTAACTATGAGCCTTAACGTGTACAGTATATCGATCGTACTGGAAGGGGTGGGTGGGGTGGGGGATAACTCTGTTGCAATGTAGCAGCGAACTTCGAATAACTTAAAACACCCGAAAATCTACCTTATACGTGTCTGAATCATGCGTAGCACGGATTCAACCTATTCACCCGTAAACAAATAAACAACCAATCGATCTCCTTTATCGATGGACTTAAACTGCATACAAAACAAACACACGTGTTTTACCATAACTTTTATAAATATATTTCATTTGTGACATGTGAATTCCTTGTAATAAGAACTTTTCAAATATATTTTAATTTTTAACACTGTTGACCTTAACTTTATAAGTTGAACCTAATTTTTTTTTTAAGTTATCATTTCTGATAACATGATTTAAGAAGTTGGGACATTTATATTTGATAAGTGACAAGATCTTTCAAAATATGTCTAGCACTGATTTTTTAGTCTAAAGGAACTTGTGCTTGAAATATGACATATACTTTTAAAAAAGAATAAAACATTGAGGAAAACATTTTGAATGAGAATGTTTGACATCAGTATCCTTTAAAAGATCTTCCAAATATATTATATGTTTCTATTTTTGACCTTGTAGGACATTATACAATGTACAATTTTAACATTTAATTGTTATAACTTTGAATGAAAGAAGATAAAGCATTCATAAGTGATGTGCATTTCTTGTGACAATATACTTCCATATTTACTATGATTAATATGACTCTGTGACCTTGATCTTGATGTATGACTTATTTTGAAAAAATATATACATGAACTTATGACAAGACCTTTCAGACCTTTATGGTGATTTTTGATCTCGTGAACTTGGTATTTGATACAATTTTTAAGAATCTTTAGTCTTCATATAACTTTAATAACTTAAAAATGAACCTTTTTCCAAAGTTATGTGTAATATATTCCTGGCTTAAAACATGTGGACAAAAAAAACAGAGCAGCAGTTGATGATTCAGGGGAGTGTTGTAACTGATGGCATAGCCAGGTGAGTGTTGTTGCCAATGGGCAGTTTATATAATCACCGACTTTAACTACTATAATTTTGATTAAAATAGAGAATGAAAATGTATTTATTAATGTATTTATTAATGTATTTATTAACGTATTTTATTAATATAAGTTTATATCTTAATTTTTAATCGAAGAGGAAACGCTCATTTCAGACACGAATAAACTCGGAACAAGTTAACTTGTTTCATTCACGACGCCATATTTGATTTTGTAGATGGTCGCTGGTTTGTGTTTTAAAAAACGTACTTTTTGATGTAATATAATCCTGATATCACAATGAGTGATGAACAAATTGATACTTCAGGTAATAACAATGAAATTATATTATAGCTATGCAAGTTATAACAACTAGAAATGAGAGATTTTTTGCACAAATACTATTGTTTACCTTCACACAGGACTGCATTAATTATAGCATCTTCCTCATAAGTTTTCAACGTGTTCTAGGAATAATTTTTCCTATTGCCTTTGTCCTCTGTCACAAGGCAACAAAGATTTAGGGAATGCAGTTAATGAGGCGAACAATAGTTCCTACGACAGTCTTTTGTCATGGCGTGCTTTCCATGTAACTTTACAATGTAACAGCATGTGTCCATTATCTCAGTAAACCTTTTAAAACTCTCAAAATTTAATAATAAAAGTCAATGAGACATTCTCATAATACCAGGACAAATTTCGTTTGATATTTTAGGGCTTGCTTCTTGAGAAGCACCTATCGAATCAAAGCTTTCAGTAATATTGCTCGATAATGTAACCAGAAAGGCCAAAGCAATACACAACTTGTCCAAATTCATATCAAATAATATTTCCCTTCTAAAATTTTGCATCAACAAACTTAAATCTTTTGTACATTCTGATTTTTTATAAAATGTAGTAGGAAGGAAAAATAGTTCAAACTCGTTATTATGCTGCACATAGCTTAATTTAACTTAAAGCAAGCTAGAAGCCTTTACCACTTAGCTACTTTGGAAATAGACATTTTTTTATGAACAGATTATTCACAATGTACTCATGTTATGGATATAATTAATTTTTATCAAACTGGACATTATTTGATTTTTAAAGGTGGGGATGGAGTAGTTAATGTACTTGATGACATTTTGGAAGGCCACACTGGGGATGATGATCTGAGTGCTGAAATTGTAGAAGAAGAAAAACCAGAGCCTGAAAAGCCTGTAGAAGGTATTGTCATCAAAGAAGACTATGCATACCTAGACTAGTATAGAATTCATTTATCATATTTTTTTCTTTATATCTTACATGAAATATTGTTGAAAAATGAAAAAGAAGTGTAGATGTTCTATGTTTAAAAACAAATATTCTAATTATTGAGACAGAATAATTTTTTGTCTATATTATAGGGATGTCACTCACTGGATTTCATTTAGGCCTTTAACACACATTTAAGGGTTTTTATCTTATCCACGGATAAATAGCCTAGACATTAAGAATATTTCAGAGATACCAAAATCGGTACTCGGTTACTCGGATGTATATTTTTGAATATTTCTAAGCTTATTTATTAATGAATTAAACAATCTGTTTTAAAAGGTAAAATACTCATTGCACTTGTACATACAGTAATTAGGGTTTCCTACTCCTCTAAATGACCGTTATCGCCCGTGGCAGTGTTTATACAGTAATTATCGTGACCAAGCGCCTGTTACCTGGCTGTTGATCTCACCTTCGGCTGTCTTCTACCCTTATTTTTTGATTTTCTTTAATTATTTGTTTTCACTGAACATCTTTTAAGGTCTGCTATGATTAAATAAATTAGATAATTTTGTGACAGTTCCTTTCATATAAAGTTAATTATAGAAGCCAAATTTCTTCTGAAAATAATTAGATGTTAGAAGATAAATTACAGCGCGACTGTTGATATGGTTGTGTTTCATTACATGCCAATACATGTACAAATAGTTGACGGCAAAGGCTAAAAAAAAAATGATGTCCATCATTGCACAAAACTACAAAATACCGTCATGTTTGGTACCGTGATACTATAAAATCTAGATCGTCCTTAAAAAGTATACGAAAATCGTAAATCGGCTTTGTTAGAACTTGGTCAAGTTCAAGTCAAACTGTACGACTGATATATATACAATGTACCTTCACGTCAAATGCAACAAAGAGTTACATTACAATTACGGAGTAGATTATTTTTTTTAAACAAAAACACCATGAACCACTTACGATTTTATTTCTTGTGTTAATCTGATAAATAAATTGAACTTAAATAAATATTGTATTAAATCTTCGTACATTCTGGGCATAAAATGTAAGTTTAATCATTGTTACAATAGAAATGCATTTACGTGTAAACCTCCTATCAGAGCACGTGGTTTTATTTCTACAAGTGTTTACAATGTTTTACATTCATCAATTTACTTGTTCATATTTATTTACACTTTTACCGAGTACCCGGGTACTCGATCGGAAAAACGTCCGAGTAACCGAGTATCAAAAATTGACCGATTTGACATCCCTACTATATTATATCAAAATAGCTCTTAATAGCACAGTGTGCTGAATTTTGCAGTAGTGAAGAAGCGCACAGGAACACCAGCTACCAGAAAAACTAAGAAAAAAGCTCAGTCTGCAGCTGCTAAACGCCTGTCAGCCCAGCGCGCTGCCGAGAAAAAGGCGAAGGCCGCAAAAGAAGAGGAGGAAAAAGGGACCACAGAGACCGAGGATCAAGAGGAAGAGAGTCAGCCTGATGAGGAGGGAAGTCCAGAGAAGGTGGTGGAGGAGCCACCAAAACAGGAATCCCCCAAAAAGAAAGTGGTGACCAAGACCAAAGCCAAGGAGTCAGGCAAGACCAAAAGTAAGTCAACTTTACTTTTTGTAGTTTAAAGCTTAGAATATTACATGTTCAACTGTGTTAAGGCTGCCCAAAGCTTTAAAATGGCTTCTGAACAAATCATTACTTTCAAATCCTAATGTGAGCTATGTAAACAAGTGAACTCAATTTAATAGAGCATTCTCTGATCTATTTTAGAACATGTTTATTCTGATATCACTTGATTTGATTGATCATGTGATGGATAGTGATAATTAATTAATTTTACACCTAAATCACTTCAGTACATGTTATTAACTTAATTGTTATTTGTCACTTTTCATTGCGCAAATCATATTTTAGTGCACTTGTGCTTTCTGTTACCAAATTATATCTGCAGTGAATGAGATTATAATGGTACAATGATTTTGCAGCAAAGTCACCCAAGGTCAGCAAATCCCCAAAAAAGAAAATATCTACAGAAAATGTCTCACAGGATGAAGGTAAATTGTGATTTTTGTAAACTTTTAAGATTAATCTGTAATGTTCACATACTTAATTGTGTTCATTGAAGAGAATGATTATGTTTCAATTTTTTGACATCTGTGTTGCAGAGAATGAGTCCACTGAAGGTGAGAAGACTCAGGAGGAGGGGGAGACAGAGACACGCCCCATTCCAGAACCAATGGATGCTCAGGATTATGACACGCGCAGTGAAGCAGGTTCCAGTGATGGAAGTCTGAACAATGATGAGTCAGGAGAATCAGGTTCATATTTCATTTTTGAAAACAGTTTCATTTTCAAGAAATTATCCCCAAGAAATTAAGTTGTGTGAGATCATGGTTTCAGTATGCCATAAATGATGAAAATGACTGGTGTAGTTATTAGTCCTTATGTTGTCGATTACAGATTTAGACTTAGATGAAGAGGATTCCTCCGTGCCAGAAAAAAAGAAACGCAAGACCAGAGACATCTCCCCTATTGAGTGGGATAGAAAGAGTGAAGGGAAGAGTGAGGGAGAGGAGGGAGAAGAAGAGGATGGTAAAAGTGACGATAACAAAAGTGAAAAGTCCGAAGACTCTACTGCCAGAAGTGAGTGAAGGAGATTTTGTCAATTCTGAATTGTATTGTATTTCAAAGAAATGATCATTTGAGCAGGCCAGGATTTTGTCAATTGAAATATATTGAATTTCAAAACAGTTATTCTAGCATTTTGTAAATTTTCAATTTTTTCCCCTTTAAAATAGAAATGAGTTCAAGGATGAAGTACATCTTTCGTGGAGCAAGATACTTTGTGATTAAAAGTAACAACCATGAAAATGTGGCACTGGCCAAAGCCAAAGGTGTTTGGTCGACACCTCCTCAAAATGAAATCCGATTAAATAATGCCTATAAGGTCAGTTACCATTATATATAATTTATATATGTGTGTAATAATGTATCTTATAATTTAGTTAGCATTGAATCTTGTAATTTAGGTTATGGTTAGTTGATACCATTTCATGTTTGCTTTTTTTTTTTTTTCAGAGCTGTGATAATGTGATACTGATATTTTCAGTCAGAGAAAGTGGAAAGTTTCAAGGTAACATGTCAGATAATGTGAAGTATTAAATTCTAAGTTTGAAGCACAAGTTGTAAAGCTGAGTCTGTAGTACTTGCAACACTGTTTGATTTATGACATTTACGTATATAAATGTTGCTGTATCCTGCTAGGTTTTGCCAGAATAGCTGATGAGTCCACCAAAGACCATCCTCCAATCCGATGGGTGCTGCCTCCTGGTTTGAGTGCAAGAGCACTAAGTGGAGTTTTTAAACTTGACTGGATCAACAGGTAAATAAAGTGCAACCATTTTACAGAATAAAATCTTATATATTTAGACGAAAGAAAAATCATAACACTACAATGTTATTCATGGTTATTAGGAAGGAGCTTGCCTTTACAAAGACACAACATCTTCATAATGCGTGGAATGACAACAAGCCAGTAAAAATTGGAAGAGATGGACAGGTAAATTTATTTTTATTTCAATTCAAAGTTTGAAATGGAACAAGTTTCATTGATTTTCATTTTTCCGTATCAAGTTCAAAGACAGGCTTAATCATTGTTATTTCTAGTATTTGATTGTTTGAGGAAATTACTTTTAAAAAAAGAATGTAGTACTAGTTTAGGATCAATGCCCATAAAATATAAACGAATGTTGTTAAATAAGATCAAACAAGTAAATTCAGATTAAAAACAAAGAAGTAATAAATTCATACTTTTTGCCTTATAGGAAGTGGAACCAAGATGTGGAGAGGCTTTGTGTAAAATGTTTCCGCCTGATGAAAATGTGGATCTTTCATCCATCGCAAGAAAAGCTCGGAAATCTTCCCGCAGTGGAGGGGGACCCCAACCAATGGGAGAAAGGAGAAATCGCGGGGGTTTTAGGGGGCGCCCTGATTTCATTAGGTTAGAGACATTTGGAAAATTGTGTAGTAAAACTTGTAGGACATTTTGATAGGTACCTAAGTTTAAAGAAAAAAAATAGATAAAACTTGCGTGGTAAGTATGCAGAGGACAACTGACAGTTGATTTGTTTTGTTTGAAGATTTTTCAGGTTTAGAGGCCCAGTTTAAAAATCTGGAACAAAATGTGGACTATTTTGTAGCATGGCTATGTGCCTCAATAGCCAACAACAAAATGGTTTTTGAACTCTTAGTGGCACTTAGCATGCTAAATGTGACTGCCACTTAAAAAAAAGGTTCTAAAGGACTAACCCCCCATTTTGTGACCCCTCTCTATATCTGGACTAATCCACCACAATACTAGCTCCATGTTTCTCAATGGACTCACCAATTTAGCTCTGTATGGACCAGAGAAATCGGCCATTGTGTTTAAATAGGGGGAAAAAAAGTGAATGAACAATCTTCTTTGGACTAAATATTTATTGCAGCCTTGTGTCTAAAATTTATGTGTGATATGAACTTTTTTCTTTGGACTAAAAATATAATGAAGCCAGTTGTTGCTTAATATTGTGTGAATGAACTATTCGTATATGGACAATGTTGTAATCGATGTGTAAATGACTGCAGTGATAAGTATGTGAAGATGCTGGCCGAGCAATGTACGGTATGTTATCTAATCTACTTACTTACATCAAGTCCACCCAACTAAAGAAAAATCAAATCCAACATCAAGAAAAAAAATATCGGTTTCAGTTTTATTCCAAAAGTACTAATCTGAATTTAATGGAGGGAATAGGATAAATTTATTAATCATGTTAATTTAAGAGTCATTTGGCAAATTCATGAAAAACATAATAGATTGGTACATATTTTACATATTATTTACACATAATTTTTCAATACATTGACAGGCTTATTTTGGTAAATTCACCTGTGCTTTTAGTTTTATTAAAGAAACATTTTAGCAGAATAGAAATGAGGTTTACTGACAATAGGTGCTACGTTACATATAAAACATTTTGATTTGTAAGTTATACAGTCTGTGAACATACAATGCCGGAGACAGATATGTGTAGAAGATCTTTATTTATCTAAAGTTGCGCTGAAAGTCAAACTTCGTATTTATTTCAATTAACTTATGAAAAAAATGGTGTAGACTAATAGACTTGTGCTTTTAAGTGTAAATTTAGAGTTCTATATACAGTGTATATGAATACATACAGTATGTATTCATTCAAGTTTTTAATCTCTTCTTGAAACAAGATTTAATTTGCAAAATGTTATCAATATAAACTGACAAGGAATTCCCTAAGATTAATATTTGCAAGAAAGAAAAAGTTCAAAACTGTGTGAAATAGGGTTTCTATGCATTATGAATGACCCATTTAGATAAGAATTCTGGTTTACAGTCTTGTGGGATGAAAGCTGTTGGACTTGATGTAAGCAACCATTGTAAATTCTTGTACAGCTAAATGTACCTTGTCTTATTGTGATCACGCACTGAAACAAATGTGGTTGTTGTAATGTTGAATATAGGCATAGGCCATACAGCAGAGAGGACTTCTATGACGATAGGAGAAAGAGAAGCCGTGACGAGATGCAACATGGACGAGGTAAGGCCTTCTTCAAAGCAATATTTGTTTGCTCTCTCCCAACTCAGGAGTACAAAGAATGGGTTTGGAAAAAACTAATTTTAAGTTTTTAAGTATTAAACAGATTTTGAAATTTATGGGAAGTAAAATTCTAAGCGGTAGTTGATGGGATGAAATTTCAAATTGAATAAACAGAATAATCATTTCCTGAAATATTAAAAAAGTTATGAGTTAGGTCATTTTTAGCCAGCTGGTTGGGAGAGGTCAAACACAAAGTTTTCATTTTTTTAGCTCACCTCGACGAAGTCGAGATAAAAATTTTAAAAGTTTTAGGAGCAAGTCCATTCCCAACTATAAGCACCTGAACCAAACTTGCATGGATGATACATCTAGGGATGTACACTACCAGACTTGCTTCGGATGCTGGATCTGACCTACATTTTCTAGATGAGTGACCAGGTTAAAGTTTTTGGAGCAGGTTAAAGTTTTTGGAGCAGGTCCATTCCCAAGAAATTATAAGCCCTACCCGGACCAAACTTGCATGGATGATGCATCTACGGATGTACACTACCAGACTTGCTTCAAATGCTGGATCTGTTTTCCAGATGAGTGACCAGGTTAAAGTTTTTGGAGCAGGTCTATTCCCAAGGAACTATAAGCCCTATCTGGTCCAAACTTGCATGGATGATGCATCTAGGTAAGGACACTACAAAACTTGCTTCGGATGCTGGATCTGACCTACATTTTCCAGATGAGTGACCAGGTTAAAGTTTTTGGAGCAGGTCCATTCCACAGAAACTATAAGCCTTATTTGGACCAAACTTGCATAGATGATGCATCTACATTGCTTCGGATGCTGGATCTGACCTACATTTTCATTCCCAAGTAACTATAAGCCCTACCTGAGCCAAACTTGCATGGATGATGTATCTAGGGATGTACACTACCAGACTAGCTTCGGATGCTGGATCTGACCTACATTTTCATTCCCATGTACATTGTAACTATAAGCTCTACCTGAACCAAACTAGCATGGATGATGTATCTAGGGGTGGACACTACCAGACTTGCTTCGGATGCTACATTTTCATTCCCAAGTAACTAGAAGCCCTTTTTGGACTAAACTAGCATGGATGATGTATCTAGGGGTGGACACTACCAGACTTGCTTCGGATTCTGGATCTGACCTACATTTTCATTCCCAAGTAACTATAGGCCCTAGCTAAACCAAACGTGCATGGATGATGTATCTAGGGATGGACACTACCAGACTTACTTCGGATGCTGGATCTGACCTACATTTTCATTCCCAAGTAACTATAAGTCCTACCTGAACCAAACTTGCATGGATGATGCATCTAAGGATGGACACTATCAGACTTGCTTTGGATTTCAAATATTTTCCATACAAGAGACCAGGTTAAAGTTTTGGGACATGTAATCATTTATCTGCAGTATTAACAAAGTTATGAATATTTGTTAACACTTTACATGTTTTTCACGCTACAGGCGTAGAAATGTGTATATGCCATGTAAGGGGTTAAACACAACTTCCATTACTTAAACTGATAACATTCGTCGAGGTGAGCTTCGTAATCTTTGATTACCTATGTTTTAAAAATGCTTTAGCTAATTATTTTTTAGTGTGCTGTGTTCTGATTTTTTTTTTCAAATTAAATTATGTGATAAATTATGTGAATTCTATTTTACACAAAGTTACACAGAAAATTGTTTTAACAACACTACAAATTAGAGCATGGCTTTAGACTTAGAGATTCTAACAGATTGAACTTTAAATCATTTCCAAGCTGTGAAGAAAAATAATCCAATCTTTATTTTCATTTGTTTAACATTTATTTAAACCAACAATTTATAATTTTAGGTTTCTACAAAGAGAGAAGAATGGACAGGTAAGTAAAAATGTCAAGGTCAAGAATTAAATCTGTTTAATGTGTACAATGACAAACATTGTAAAGTTCCATAAAATCTGAAAGCTACATCTACAGAAATTTTATTTTAAAATTTTTCTTCAGATCACCAAGATATGGAGTTAGGAGAGAAACATTCATCAATGGGGTAAGATTGAGTTTCTTCAGATTTTTGATGAGGAAAAGTTGATCATTGTGTAGCTGTCTGTTACCTATTTTGTTATGTTTGTGAATTTTAGTCCTACAGTGATTACATCAGGGAATTCACTCACAGTCGGGCACCCCCACCCCCCATGCCACCATATGGACCACCAGTAAGTGACATATCTATAACGTACTGAATTTTAATAGATAAGTTTTATTATGATTTATATTGTAAAATTTCAAATGCATAATTAGAATTCAAATGGTCATATTTGTTCATTTTACTGATATAAACATGGTCCAAGTTATTTTTCAAGATTTTTTAATAAAAGTTTATATCTATCATCTGCGCTTACATAACTATCTTGTGAAGCGTAGTAGACCAATGTTATGAAGTTTCATAATAATGGTCATAAACCTTTTCTAATTACAGCCCCCTGGATTTGCTATGGACCCTATGAACCCTTACAGTGGTCACTATGACCAGAGACCAAGAGAATACATGATGGCGTCCCAGGAATACAGCATGGCCTCCATGTCCAGATCCAGAGCAGACAAACGATCTGTAAGTTTAAAACAAAGTCCAGGGGTATTTATTGCTGATTTCTCAAGGTTGCAAATGACTTATTTGTTTAAAGATAGATTTGTTTGTAAAAGACTATTAAAAATTTTTAGTAGGAAGGCATGTGGAGACTATAATTAATAATTTTGTTGTATATTGTAGTACGAGAGGGATGTGGATGATTTCCTCAGAAGGACCACAGAGGGAAGTAGACGTCGCCGACACAGTAGCGGGGATCGCGATCGCAGCCGAGAGAGGGACCATCATCGACACAGAGATCGCAGATAACATCATCACTCATTTCATGTCATCATTTGTGCAATGTACATCATCTAACATTGATTTTATAGTCATGTTTATATCATATACTTCTTTTTTAAATACTAGAACATCCATTTGATTTGTTGATATGTGAATACTTGAAGTTGTCTTTTTCATTGGCAAGTCTGTTTTTTATTTGACAAGTGCCATACACTGAATTGCAGATTTGTCAAAGTCCCCAATAGTAGTAATTACTGAAAAGGTTCATCACCAGTGCTTAAGTTGTACAGTATTATTAAGTTTTTAAGTACATGTAAATCTGTGAAAGTTTGAGTATTGTACTTAGTACATAAATGTACAGTGTAAATATAGAGCTTTCTTTATGCATACTTTAAAATAATTATTTACAAAAAAAGGTGTTTTACATTTTTGTAATGTTGTCTTTTCTATATAAAATAATTTGTTTCATATTCATTATCATTTTAATTCACTTTAACACATAAATTTGCTGACATGTTCACCGCTCAAGCCTGTGATTATTTGTTTAATCATCTGGAGCAAAGAGAGTTATCTGAATAGGATTTTGGTTGTGTGTATCTGTTTGGTATCCTTTTTCACTGAGAGAGAGTGTTGATAACAATGTGAGGGTAAGGCATACTTCTACATTAGACATAAGTTAACTGTACAGTGTATTGAAGAAAGTAAATCAATTTATTTGTAAAATAAATGAATAAACTCTTGATCATTTTCTGTTATTCATTTGAAAGTTGATTACTGTAGAATCATTTTAATTTGTGTGAGGGGAGGGGGTTTCAAATCACTGATTTGTGGGTGTGTAGTTTCAGAAGTAAAGGATTTGATGTTCCAGTAAACATTTTTTTGTGGAAAAGATGGATTGAATAACCTTAACCCCCTCTCAAAACAAAAGGATCCCACAGTATGTAGGCTTAATAATTAGACATGTTGAAATAAACATGAGTGTTGCTGGAAATTGTTCAGCTATCTCCTTTCTCATGATTCGTAGTAAGAACAATTGCATCATTGAGATGTAAGACAAATTACAAAATATATTGACAGCCAATGAGCATGGATATCCCTTACCAAAAAGATACTACTATATATGGATTTATTTCTTTATACTGAGCTCATTTGAGAAGGCAATATTCTGGACTGAACAAAAAATGTCAAGATGACAAATTACAAACCAGGAAAACATTTTTATCTTCAACATTTTATTGTTTTGTATATCTTAACATGATACATATTTATAACATACAAGCCAAAATAATCAATTATTCAATATGTCATGGAATATTTCAAAAAAAGGTTTCGGGCCATCTTTATTAATATGTTTGCTTGTCTTCTCCCTGTTTGGGGTAAAAAAAAAATGGGGTCAGTAGGTAGGGGATATTTTTTAATTAAAAAGTACATGTATTTGCATATATAATAATGGAATAGTTACTTACTTCAAAATGGTTTTTTAAACAACAGTTTCCTAGAGCTTAAAAAGGTTTTTGAGTTGAGGTGTTTTGTATTTTTGGTCCGTGGGGAAAGCGCAAACAAACATATTTTTAAAGATGGCCCCTTTGCCTACAGTTGTACACTGTGTTTATTACTATGTAGGACAGTCAAAATCAAGCTTACTTTCCCATATCATCACAATATCATGACTTTACTTTTATGCAAGCTAAAACTATATAAAGGCTACCTCAGGGTAATTCCAAAACATTTTAACAATGAAATCAATTTTTCTTGAATCATAGTACAGAGTAATAGTTTATAAGTACACGTGTAGCACCATGAGACTATCTCTAAACAAGAGGCCCATGGGCCACATCGCTCACCTGACCACTGTGGCTAGGAAAAAGTAGAAATTGGTTTTATTATTGAAAAGTTTGTATCAAAAAGTAAACCTTAGACCAGTTATGGTTTTGCTATTCTTGAGAAGATGATTTTTAAAGAATTTTCCTATATATTTCTATTTAAAACTTTGAAATGTTGTAACAAATTTGTAAACTACAACATACCTGAGGATGCTTCCATATAAATATGATCAATGGTGTAAAATTTTTAAAAGAATTTTCCTATATATTTCTATGTAAAATTTTGGGGCCATTGTGGCCCCGCCCTTATCAAAAAAACTAAAAACAGGATGCTTCCATATAAATATAATCAATCATGGATTTGTTATTCTATTTTTAAACAATTTTCCTATATATTTCTATGTAAAATTTGGTCAATTACCCGTATTGCATGCAACAAAAAACACTGCTTCCATATAAATATATTTTCATGGCTTTGCAAATGTAAAGAATTTTCTATATATTTCTATGTAAAAATGCTTATATTCACAAACTTGAAAAACTACCTGAGGATGTTTCCCCAGATATATTTTCCTGGCACAGTGGTTCTTGAGAAGAAGATTTTTATAACATAAAAATTTTCATTAATTCCCAATTATGTTATATATTTCAAACACAATGAAATTCACAAGGATGCTTTGTGGAAAGTTTTTTTGGCCCAGCGGTATTTTAACAAGCAAAAATGTGAAAAGTTTACAGACAGCTAAATTTTAATATAAGGATCAGAAACAGCTCACTTCCTTTTGAGCTCAGGTGAGCTAAAAAGCTAAAATTTCTAGATAAAAAGTAAATGCTACGCTACTGTAACTAAAAACAAAATGCCCCATATCCTTTAGAAAATGAAACTTGTAACAAATAGTTTACAAATACACAATTTGGTGGAGGCAAATTGAAAGGGGAAAATGGTAAATCTTTTCAATGCATATATTATGTATATATTTGCTTGCCCCCCCCCCCCCCCCCCCAAATGCAATTGTACAAAATAAATCACATGTAAAATTTTGAAAAAGGCTTTAACTATAAGAAAATGAGGCATTAATTATCAAAAAAAAAAAAGTACACAAAATAAGATACAATTATCCAATTAATATTTACACATTTACTAACATTCAATTACCCGTATTACATGCAAAAAAATGCAATAGAATATATTTTATTTATAAATGTAATGCTATTTACTTAAAAAAATGCTTATATTCACAAGCAAAAATAAGTCATTTCTTTAGATATATTTGGAGAACAGGAAATAGAAAGATCTCTTGTATCAAAAATAACATACGTGTATATACCCGGGTATTTCAAACACAATGAAATTCAATATATGTACAGAGGGTTTTTTCTTCATCCATTTTAACAATCATTTCTACTTTACATGCTGAGTTTAATATAAGGATAAACAATATTTTTCTTCCCAAATGCAATATATATAGAAAGCTACAGAAATGTATGAAGTTCTGTTAGTGTAAAGTTCCTGGGAACATTTCAAAGAGTCTAGTTTGACATAATTGAATTTTTAAATTAGATTTCAGTTGAAAGAAATACAGGTATTGAAAAAATAGCAATATAACTCTTCAGTATTGGAAATAATAAAAATTGTTACTGTGGTAAGATATTTATGATATATGATATATGGAAATGGTAAATAATTATAAAATTCATGTTATAAAATTAACCAAAACAAAAAAAGGATGGTCGGAGATCAATAAAATTAACTTCTTAACAACAACTCATAAACATGCATGTTATTGACAGTGCAATCTACACCCTGTCACAACAGTGCTTTAACACAAACAAGATGTGTTTGTGAAACACTATGCACCCGGCCGCAACACAGTTCTAAAAAGCTATTTTTAGCATATAGGTCAAAGTCAAGGTCACAAGGTCATTGACCTTGGTGTCTTTTGAAAGAACTTATTTAGTGGAGTATACATACAAAATATGAAGTCTCTATCTCCTATGGTTAAAAAATTATGGCCAAGTTCAAAAAGCTATTTTTAGCATATAGGTTACAGTCAAGGTCATTGACCTTTGTATCATTTGAAAGAACTTAATTAGTGGAGTAGGCATACCAAATATAAAGTCTCTATCTCTCATGGTTCAAAAGTTATGGCGAAAGTTTGAAAAAGTTTTTTTTTAGCATATAGGTAACAGTCAAGGTCACAGGACCGTGGTGTCATTTTAAGCTCTCTATCTTTCATGGTTCAAAAGTTATGGTGAAAGTTTAAGTTGACAACAGACAAACTGAAAACAGATAAACAGAAAATTGTAGATTAAGGCTTTAAAAATGTAGACATAGATTTATATTACCGGAGGACTCCCATGCCAATTTCAATAGTCCTCGACCACTGATGTCAAATACAAAGCAGCTGCATGAGATTTACATGCATATTTATCCTCCTTAGCGTCAGACACAGAGACAGATGTGCATGAGATTTGCATGCATATTAGGCCTCCTTAGCTTCTGACCTATCGACCTGCCTAGTTTACATTCCAGTAGAATTATCAAGAAATCAACACCGCTAACTTTCAAAGAGTTGTCACAGAGAACAAAAATTAGAAATGAAAATACAATGTATAAATAGATAAACAGACAGACAGGAAAAAAACAATGTACACCTCGGATCTATCAATCTGAGCGCATAAAAATCATAAATTCAGAGAGAACAACCAGAATTAAAACCATCCCCCTATCATATTGGCCTTTCTTGGTCCATGAGTAATATTTACTTTCCGAATTTGCCTCATTATTATAGACATGGTTTCTTACATATTTATCCTGAGTATTGCTGACTATTAAAAACTACGAAATTTTTAATATATGTTTTTTTATCATAAATTCTTGAATTACTATTTTATTCCATCTAACTTATCAATAACATCATTTATTGAGTAAATCACAATGGGGAATTACTTCTCCCTAAATCAGAGAAAATATTCCTGTACGTGATCCCAATAGAAACTTTGTCTCAGAGGCCATGCATTTTAGTTCAGGAAGAAGCATTCCTTCGCAATGGATTAACTTGAGAAGAATCTCTGATGTTACTTTTTTTCAGATTTCCACTTTCTATAAGCCATTATCAGATACTTTCTCCAAAAGAGATTAATATATAAAGTAAGATTCTCTCTCTTTAATTTAATCATATACATGTACTTATTATGATTTAAAATTTTGTCATTTTATTTCATATATTGACTGTTTGCTGTATTTGCTTACTAAATGCACTTAATAAAATTGTGCAATTATGATATGCTGCATGCGTCTTCAGATAAAAACACCACCAACTAAAAATTACACATTATTAGATAGCAATAAACTTGATCACTCCCATTTATACAGCCTCTAATGTTTTACAGGTCACACACATATAAAGATATATATGTAGTTATAGAAGCTAGCACTAAGTGTTAATAGCTTACACTAAGCAGCCTGCAGTTTGTCTGTCATCTGTGATAAGAAAAAGACAGCTGTGTTATAAGCAGAAAGTGAAAGTTATAAAAATCAGTATATGTCTGAATGAGCATAGGATATAATGATTGAATTTTAAAACAAAATGTGTAAATTACATTGTAGGCATAAAATGAAAGTTATAAAACATGTCTGATTGATTATAAGATACAATGATTTAATTTCAGAAAAAAAATCTCTGAACTACCTTGTAAATTTTTTATATGTCATGGTAAATAGTTTGTGGTTGTATATATATCTAAATACTTATAGGGGATTCATTTCTCAGGTTTTACATTTAGCTATAAAATGTTTTACACTGTTTTATATACTGTGAAATCAGAAATTTTTGTGGGGGTTTAATTTTCGTTGTTTTCGAGGTATGACGAAACCCACAAAATCATGTCCACCACGAAATGTAAAATGTTACATACATAAGTACTCATTCATTCTTGATCCATGGAATCAAATCCCCATGATCCCAACGAAAATATGTGATTTTACAGTATGTAAACACACATTACTTAATTTGATTCACACAAAAACCACAGTCATGTCACAACTGTGGATATGAAAACAATACCCTTTGAGCTATATCCACCATATAAGGGAGTAAACATGTGTAAAATAAAATATACTACACAAATCTGTTTAAAACAGGGATAACACATGTACATTGCAAAACAACACCAAAAGCACCTTACTGTAAAGAACGTGTGTATAAAAGGGGATAAAATAGGAACATCAATAGAAAAAAAAATAGTACAACAGTACAACACTTCTTTAGTACAGGTGATTGTGTCATTAACATATTTGTGATGATTGTTTGGTCTGTGATTTGTGTCATTAAAGTCATAAATTAATATTATTGCTGTTTAATTTGTCTCAATGCAAATCAATGGAACTTTTTTTTGGTAACAGAGCTCAATATCCCATGTACATGAATCTCAGATTCAAAGAAAGACAATTTTGATTTCTATCAAAACCAACATGATGAATATGTAACATGAAGAATATGTACCTGGCATTCATAAAAACCAACACTGATTCATAACAAAAATTTCAAAAGGCAATGTAGCTGGCATTGATAAGACAATTCTATTGTGTGTCTGGCATTGATATGACAATTATACTGTGTAGCAGGCTTTGATATGATTTTTTTGTTTAGAGCTGGGTTTGGGGCTCCAGCTGCTTGTCGTTCTTATTTACCTCCCCGTCCTGTGCCCTGTAACTCTCCTCCTTTCTCTTGAATGCAAACCTGGCAAAAATCATCAGAAGCAGCATCTCCACAATTAAAAGGAAGTAGTTAGACCCTGTAAAAGAAAAACATAGGTATTCAGCATTTATTAATTCAATTTATTTACAATATTTGTAGCAATCAAGAATGATTCCATAAAATTTAATAAACATTAAGCATCAGAGGAACTCCTTAAAATGCAAAAAAGGGGGAATAACTGCCAATTAAATCAACTGTTTGATGATATTTTTTTAAGACATACTGTAAGCTCTAACAGTAGAGTTGAGTATCCTGACACACTCCGGAATGTTGTACTTGGCCAGAATCTGGAAGATAAAGCCTTGGATGTTGACCACCACAATGGTCAACTGAAGGGCAGCAAATTTCTTTCCAATGTTATAGTCCTGAAGGCGATCTCTGAGGGTTCTAAATGTGATCATCATGGCCCACATAGCAACCAGACTGGACACAGCACCAACCAAATTCAGGTACAAAGAGGCAGCTGTAGGACTCATCTACAAGTACCACACATTCTGTGTAATTGCACTGTAATCTTTACAAAACTTTTAATCCACTATTAAACTGTGTTTATCTTTTATGATTCCTCCCCACAGGCACTAGTTTCATGTACGTGGCACCCCTACTTAATATTTTTATCACAAGGTACCTAACTCGATTTCAGACACCCCTGCTTCAAGCTTGTATTTTGTTCATCTATCAATCATTAACTTACTTTAAAATGACATTGTTTGCAGCTAAATTGCTTCTAGAGACTTTTTTCTTGTCAATTAAATCATTTCAGACGTCTCTATTAGATCCTTTTTATTGTAATCCACTCATTTATTCCTCAAAAATACGAAATAAGTGCCTGTGTTCCTCCCATTCTATTTGATGGAGGAGGGGGCATTTTTATGGTCTTTTGTTTGTGATTGCATGTGTGTGGCAACTTTACGTTACTGTAGTCTCTTCTACGAGTAATACTTATTTCTCAATCTACCTGGTAGTTTTAATTAGATACAAGAGGCCCATGGGCCTTATAGGTCACCTGAGCATTATGCAACAACTTTCCTGAGATTGAATTTGATTCATGTTATAAGCCAGATGATATGGCATTCACAATTTTGAAAGAGGCACCATTGATCATCATAACAATACACTTAGCAGTTGCTTAGTTTGTTTACTTAATACCCATACCCAGGGTAGGGGAACAAAAAATGCATTTCAACTAATCAGTAATATTCAGCAATAATCTGTAGTGCCCCTACCACACATAAACCTCTGACCCTTAAGCCTTGATATTTGATTAATACCAAGGAGCAGATTTCAAACCATTCATTCATTTTCAGTATATAAGAACAGCCCCCCTCTACGGTACCCCTGACCCTGGGGCCTTGAAATTCACAATTCTGGAAGATTAGGGCCCTTGTCCATCATAACTATATAGGTAGTTCATCTGCTTAATACCCTCGAGCAGAGAAGAAAATTTTCAAAGAATTCATGTATTTTCACAATGTAATCAATAGAGCCCCGCCCTAACACCAGAACCCCTGACCCTGGGGCCATAAAATTCATAATTTTAGTAGAGGCACTCTTGCTCATCATAACTATGCACTTAGTTAGTTTATTTATTACCCAGGAGCAGAGAATAAAATTTTCAAAGAATTCATATATTTTCACTATATATAATCAATAGAGCCCCGCCCTAACACCAGAACCCCTGACCCTGGGGCCATAAAATTCACAATTTTGGTAGAGGCACTCTTGCTCATCATAACTATGCACTTAGTTAGTTTATTTAATACCCAGGAGCAGAGAAGAAGATTTTCAAAGAATTCATGTATTTTCAGTATATAATCAATAGAGCCCCGCCCTAACACCAGAACCCCTGACCCTGGGGCCATAAAATTCACAATTTTGGTAGAGGCACTCTTGCTCATCATAACTATGTACTTAGTTAGTTTAATTAATACCCAGGAGCAGAGAAGAAAATTTTCAAAGAATTCATGTATTTTCACTATATAATCAATAGAGCCCCGCCCTAACACCAGAACGCCTGACCCTGGGGCCATAAAATTCATAATTTTGGTAGAGGCACTCTTGCTCATCATAACTATGTACTTAGTTAGTTTAATTAATACCCAGGAGCAGAGAAGAAAATTTTCAAAGAATTCATGTATTTTCACTATATAATCAATAGAGCCCCGCCCTAACACCAGAACCCCTGACCCTGGGGCCATAAAATTCACAATTTTGGTAGAACACTCTTGCTCATCATAACTATGTACTTAGTTGGTTTATTTAATACCCAGGAGCAGAGAAGAAGATTTTCAAAGAAATAATGCATTTTCACTACCTAATTATTTAGCCCCGCCCTAGCACTAGAACCCCTGACCCCAGGGCCATGAATTTCACAATTTTGGCAGAGGACTCAATGCTGATTACAATCATACAAACAGTTTGACTGCTTGATGTCTAGGAGTAAAGAAGAAGATTTTTAAAGATAGCATTAATTTTAGTGGTTTTGGCCCCACCCCTCAGGCCCCAGGGGGGCAGGGATCATGAAATTCACAATTTTTGTTTCCCTTCACCCATAGATGATTTGTGTCAAATTTGGTTGAAATTGGTTCAGTGGTTGCAGAGAAGAAGCTGAAAATGTTCAAATGTTAACGCACGACGCACGACGAAAACGGATAGCAATAGGTCACCTCAGGTGACCTAAAAGAGACTTTGGTAAAACAAAATAACAACATCTTTTCATTGAAACTTCAAATACACTTAAACAACTTACATCCTCTCCCAAAATGTAGCGTTCATCAGCCCACAGAATCATAGCTAAAATTGTAATGATTGGTCGAATTATGGCTGCCTGCAAGGTCATCAGGTTCACTTTCCTTAGGTTGTTCCTGTTTGTAAGTATAATGATGCATAATTAGTGTATACAGATCGACAGGGTATACAAATATCGTTAGTAGTTTAAATAATGCTGGAATTGCTTCCATTAAGAATTCACTGCTTTGATATCAAAACATTATAATTCAATATTAAATATTTCTAATCTCCTCTGGATGTAATTTTTTTCTGACCTGTTGACTTTCTGCTTGTACACCCCTGGACAGCAACAGCAGCAGCAGCAGGGAGGGGTTCTGAAGGACATCTGCTCCCCCTCCATCTCCTTACACACGGCCTTAAAGCCTCCCATGTAATCCACCACCATCCTGACAAACATCAGTATACACAGGGCCATGTACCTACAACAGGGGATCAGATACACTTAACAATCAAACATACCTCAGCTAGCTCTCATTGCATACAAGTATTAAATGTTTGATTGTTTTTGGTCCACTAGGTATATGCAAATATTATCAATGGTTGATTGAAGATTAACTGCTTGGTACACAAATGGAACTTAAAACAAGCTACATTTACTTGGCTCATCTATCAACATGGAGTCTGTTCCTGTGTAGAAAGTTCACTATTCCACCACAATCAAATACTGTATACAGGGTAATTTTCGACCCTGTTTTATTTTTGCCCCGTTCAAAGCTGGGTGAATTTAAAACGAAAAGAATTCAGAGAACATAACATCATTTCTTAAACAGAACCATGACTGGGCAATTGAAAACGAAGCAAAATTGTTTGCAAGTGCAAAAGGGCAAAAATAACACTGTATACAGTATACATGCACATTAAATACTGTACTTACCAATACAAATTTCAAAGTACCTGATTGCAGGCATACAACAGTCAACTGTGCTATAAAATACTACCCCATCACCAACTAGTCTGAGGTGAATTCAACAACTGTGACCAGTTACAAATTATTACTTGAAGATGGTGTGTGTAAGTGTACTAGTATCTGATAAAAGGTTTTTAAATTGCATATTTTGATATGATATTTCTCAATGAATAAATACGGAAAACCTGCAAATGCACTGTAGTGCTCATGCACGACTTTTGCATCTGTGATTGTGACATGAGGCTATAGCTTATATATACATGTACTCAAAACAAATATACTGGGTAAGCAGCAATATGAGGTTATGGTCAATGCCTGGTCAGTAGTTTCATACTACCCCATGCTTGCTAGTCTAGGGAGCTCTGAAATTACTGCCAGATATCACAAAGTCTGTGATTAATACGATTAATAGTACAAGAACTGTATTTGAAAATGATTTCCATATGACAAAAACCATTATTGTGGTGTCAGAAGCATAATATCATAAAGTGAATTAGTAATAAATGTACCTGCAAATTATACAAAAGTTAAAAAAAGCAAAGCTTGCTAAGCAGACTTTTTTGTTTTAGATTGGTGTTTAATTTCTCCTAAAAAATATCTTTGCAATACATGTAATATTAAATATTACATTTTTTCAAAACTTGACATTTGAACTAATAATTTTTAAATATTTGTACACAACCTCTTCGCTGAATATCTTATGCTGGTTTTTAGAACTTCAAATAATTTTTCATAGATAAAGATATCACTTTGAAAATTGAAAAAAAAAATTACTCTTGAAACTTGAATAATATATATATTTTTTCTAAATCCACCATTAAGTAAAAGAACTAATGATTATGACAATTACACCAATCATCCCTTGAGAAACTTACATAGCGATCATAAGCTCTGCAATCATTGTTGTACGTGGCAAAACAAGTGACAGCATACAAGCACAAGAGACCAACTGAAAAGTATCCAACACAGCATTAATTACAACAGCTCTACAATGGATTAAACCAAAATTCAAGCAGTGATAATGTTGACAATATGGGTATTTAATGTAAAAAAAAAACATCAACAAGATGGTACAGTAAAAACTGTATGATCCAGCACCTGTGTAATCCATTTTACTGAGAATTCTGACCTTTTTTTACTACTTTCCATGTTCTTTACACTGAGCAATCCAATACCCTGTACCCATTACAACATAAAATTTGTGCCCTAATGGCTAAGTGCGGGTTGGATTATACAGTTTTCCTGTACACAAGTGCAGATATTTTTTCAAAAGCAAGTGCAAGCAAAAAAAAAAAAAAGGAAAGAAAGAAAACAATCAGCTGAAAATTGCTTCAATAACTAGTTTCTAAAAATGGATCCTTACCGGGTAGACACCCAGCATGATAAGAGTTTTGTTTTTGTTGATTTTTATGCCTTCTAGGTGATTATGGCCATGTATAAACCTGAATGTCTCAAAGTACAGGACCACTGTTGTTATACAAATTACTGCTGCTGTGATAGTGATACCTAAAATGGCCGGCTGCTTCTCCAACTCTGTAGAAATAAGATTTAACTCTGTGTCAATATTCAAACAACCTAGTTACATTTCAACCATCAAGCCACTAATTATTGTCAGAAAAAATCATTCATTTTAAAATTAGCAAGGGTACTTAAGTGCATCGATCGTTAACTACATGTATTCTATTTGAGGATATCTCAAAAGCTAATTATGGATAAAATTACTACTGTAACACTGGTAAAATCATGAATCAATCTTATGCAATATGTTAAAAAGAGAAACTGGAGGGGACTAGGCCTATAGGTTTCTTCTGCATCAGTCTGTCTGTCTAGCTGTCCTTCTGTCTGTCTGCAAGTCTTTCTCACTTGGTTTCCCACACTTTTTTCTAAACATTTTTTAGTTTAAGGTGCTCTTAATATAACATAACAAGAACTGCTTGAACTTAAAAATTTATCTTTTCACATTCACCCAGGCCCAACAAACACCTTCTTCCTCTCAGCGTATTCTTAGGCATGTCAGCAAATTAATTATATACCTACCTAAAAACAGAGCAGATGACACAGGAAAGTCTTTCTGGACACAACCTAGTTCTTGTACAAGGCTGCTGTTATTCATGGTTGGTCTGTCTGAAATGTCAAAATAACTCAAATACTAAAGTGTCAAAAACTCTCGTTTCGCAAGAAGTTTAATATGTCTGACATTTCTTGACTGAATAAAAAGCTACACTGCCTACCTTGCAATTTTTGTAAACAACTGGAACACTGGACCTCTGGGCTATAAACTGGTTCCCCCGAAAGCGAAAGCGTCGCAGGGAACCAGTTAGATAACTGGGATAAACAATATGGCGGCGAGTGGTGGACAGTTGCGACTATTTTGTGGCGTTTCTCTTGCAGTTTTATTCTTTCTCCTTCTTCATTGTGATTATATCTGTACTTCAAAACCAACAATTGTTATAAAACAATCCATGCCTCTTACATCAGGTATAAACGAGTTCTAAACCGACTATTTACAATCACTAAATTAAGACTGTGATGAGGACAGCTTTGTAACGTTGTATTTTATAGAGTTTATTCATGCCTTTACATTGGTAACAATACCATATTTCTGTATTTCATGTATTATTGTGTTTTGTGTTAAGATGGATGGCAGGAGAGATTGATATGAAATTCTTTCACTCACCTGGATCTTCTTCATGTTCTGGGTATCTTCCTACTTTTTGACCACCCCAATAAATGAATCCATCACATAAAATGCAGTGTTTAGGTGGTTAAAAATGTATATATAGAAACCATGTAATACATCCTTGTAGATAGAAGGTTCTATCATTAAAATGATATTGTTCAACAGATCCGAGACACAACGAAATTATTCTAACGATAACCTGACATTTTCAGATTATAGATTGTCACAAAGTTTCTTGTACAGTGAAGTCGCCAATTCCTGGTCACGTCAGGGTGTTTCGTTGATATTTTGCAAATCTGTTCAATTTAAATTTTATGCAATATATGTATTGAAAGAACAAATAGTGAGTCATCCAAATTTTAACACCTTTTCGTTTTCAAAGTAGCTACACAGGAACAATATATACAGGGGTATTTCAGCAAGGCCTAGCTTCCCCAGTTACGAATCATTTTCTCCATTTCCGAGTCATTTGACTTCACGGTCGTGTACTATTCATGGAACGTTTCGGAACACGATTTTTATGATGCTGAAACATAAAACAATTCATGCAGCTTGGAAAAAAAGTAAAACAACCACAGAAATATGTTTAAATTATTATTAAAACAATTACAACAAAACAAATTGCAGTATGCAGAATTTAAAAAAATGTATTAGGATTAAGAATAATACAATTAAATTCATTTATTAGCTCACCTGAGCCAAAGGCTCAAGTGAGCTTTTCTGATCAAAATTTGTCCATTGTCTGTCGTCGTTGTCGTCGTTGTCATTGTTGTTGTAAACTTTTCACATTTTCATCTTCTTCTCAAGAACCACTGGGCCAATTTCAACCAAACTTGCTACAAAGTATCCTTGGGTAAAGGGGATTCAAGTTTGTTCAAATGAAGGGCCACTCCCTCTTCCAAGGGGAGAAAATAATGAATTAGAGAAAAATTAATGGCATTTTTAAAAAATCTTCTTCTCAAGAACCACTGGGCCAGGAAAGATGAAACTCATGTGGAATCATCCTCAGGTAGTATAGATTCAAGTTTGTTCGAATCATGACCCCCGGGTGTAGGGTGGGGCCAAAATGGCCGATCAAATTTTTACATAGGAATATATAGGAACAAGAGGCTCATGGGCCACATCGCTCACCTGAGCACTGTGGCTAGGAAAAAGTAGAAATGGGTTTATTATTGAAAAGTTTAAATCCAAAAGTAGTCCCCTGAGCAATGGCTTTTCTATTCTTAAGAAAAGGATTTTTAAAGAATTTTCCTATATATATATGTCTATGTAAAACTTTGATTGGCCATTGTGGCCCGCCCTACCCCCATGGGTCATGATTTGAATAAACTTGAATCTACATTACCTGAGGATGCTTCCATATAAATATGATCAATTATGGCTTTGTTATTCTTGAGAAGAAGATTTTTAAAGAATTTTCCTATATATTTCTATATAAAACTTTGGTCGGTCATTGTGGCCCCGCCCTACCCCCGGGGGGTCATGATTGGTACAAACTTGAATCTACACTACCTGAGGATGTTTCCCCATAAGTTTCACCTTTCCTGGCACAGTGGTTCTTGAGAAGAAGATTTTTAAAACATACCACCAAATTTTCATTAATTCCCAATTATCTCCCCTTGAATGAGGGCATGGCCCTTTATTTGAACAAACTTGAATCCCCTTTACCCAAGGATGCTTTGTGGCAAGTTTGGTTGAAATTGGCCCAGCGGTTCTTGAGAAGTCGAAAATGTGAAAAATTTACAGACAGACAGACAGCTAGACAGACGGACGCCGGACAAAATGTGATCAGAAAAGCTCACTTGAGCCTTCGGCTCAGGTGAGATAAAAATCTTTAAAAATCTTCTTCTCAAGAACCACTGGGCCAGGAAAGATGAAACTCATGTGGAATCATCCCCAGGTAGTATAGATTCAAGTTTGTTCGAATCATGACCCCCGGGGGTAGGATGGGGCCAAATTGGCCGATCAAATTTTTACATAGGAATATATAGGAAAAATCTTTTAAAATCTTTTTCTCAAGAACCACTGGGCCAGGAAAAATGAAACTCATGCTGAATCATCCTCAGGTAGTGTAGATTCAAATTTGTTCAAATCATGACCCCCGAGGGTAGGGTGGGGCCAAAATGGCCGATCAACATTTTACATAGGAATATATAGGAAAAATCTTTAAAAATCTTCTTCTCAAGAACCACTGGGCCAGGAAAGATGAAACTCACGTTGATTCATCCTCAGGTAGTGAGGTTCAAGTTTGTTTAAATCATGACCCCCGGGGATAGGGTGGGGCCAAAATGGCGGATCAAAGTTTTACATAGGAACATATAGGAAAAATCTTTAAAAATCTTCTTCTCAAGAACCACTGGGCCAGGAAAGATGAAACTCACGTTGATTCATCCTCAGGTAGTGAGGTTCAAGTTTGTTTAAATCATGACCCCCCGGGGATAGGGTGGGGCCAAAATGGCCGATCAAAGTTTTACATAGGAACATATAGGAAAAATCTTTAAAAATCTTCTTCTCAAGAACCACTGGGCCAGGAAAGATGAAACTCATATGGAATCATCCTCAGGTAGTGTAGAATCAAGTTTGTTCAAATCATGACCCCTGGGGGAAGGGTGGGGCCAAATGGCCGATAAAAGTTTTACATAGGAATATATAGGGAAACCTTTTAAAATCTTCTTTTCAAGTACTTCAAAGCCATGCTTAGTGATATTTATAGGGAATCAACCTCAGGTTGTGTAGATTCTAGTTTGTTCAAATCATGATCCCCTGGGGGTTAAAATTCAAGCCCACCCCCCCAACCTCAGTAAGCTTTCAGTTCTGATCTGATATGTGCTTTTTCCCTAGCCAATTGCTCAGGTGAGCGATGTGGCCCCTGGGCCTCTTGTTAAAAAAATACATTTGAAGGGTTAATTTGATTCTAATTTTTAGTAAAAATTTTTTCCAGTTAGAATACTTTTGATAATCAAGGTAAATACATGGTTGTCGATTGGTTTTGTACATAGAATTTTGACATGTTCATGCCACGAGATTGCGTGACCCGCAATTGGAGAAACTACCACAGTTTGATTTAATAATCATTTTAATTTTATTTGAGCAGCGATCATTATGATTGATTTTTGATTTAAAACTTAAATGCATTTGCCATACTTTCGAGCTCTTATTATTTATCTAGAACTTTTATATCAGCTTTTCTGCAGCGAACAAAAGCGAAAGTAGCCCGTCACCGAATTTCGATTGTCGGATGCTCTCTTAAAGCTGATATTCAAAATTTTGTAATTGATTACGTACAGAAAGACCAGTTCTTCATGACCAGCATATTCATTAAGATTTTTGCACTTAAATTTTAACACTAGGTATAAAATACACACGAGTGACCCGCAATTGGAGACGACCCGGAATTGGCGACTCCACTGTACATACATGTTCTTGCATCATAAAGAAATTGATGTCTCATTCTCTTTTTGTAGATTGTACTGATAACACTGGTGCAGTTGTTGGGCATGAAGCAACATGGCCTACCTCTACTGGCTCTTGTGATAAAAATAAATGTTGGCATGGGACACTAAAGAAGTTTGTTCTAACATACAGGTATATTTTTGTGACAAATGATATTTTTCTGGAATGATATATACTAAGAAATTGATTCAGTTCTAATACTGTCCTATAAGGTTTAGTGGTCAATTTCATATAAAATTATACCTTTATTTTTTCTTTATTTCAGTTGCCCCTCCCTGAATACTGGTGAAAATCCAGATAGTGGCAATTGTTTTGAAACATCCAATACTGGTTTGAGTTTCCCAGACTGCTGTCCAACACTCAGTTGTAATTCCTCTGTACCATTGACAACTCTGGCACCAACAGGTGAGGTAACTTTCTGGTTCATTCAAAACCATATGTCTTTTAAGGGGGCCGACTATAGTTTTATTGTGTGAAAACTACAGTAGCGTAACTATTCATTTTTATACCATATATAACTTACATTAAATTAAGTGTACATGCAGAGTTCTGGTAAAATCTACCTCCCAGGTATTTTTAAGGGGCCGTCTCAAAATACAGGTACATTTACTATAGGATTATATAGGAAAATGCCAATTTTTAGCACTTTAAAGCAAATTATACAAATACTACAATAGACATTTTGTTCAAACTATAATATTTCATGAGTAATACTATATTGTACAATATATGTAAAAAACACAAAATTCTACCGTCTTGTTAACAGAGGAGGCATCTCAAAATGCAAAAAATTAGCAAATTCTACTATTTTTATAGACTATTACAAAATATGACGTGAACAATGGATTCACAAAAAACATAATAAATATATTGGAGATATTCCAAAAATTCTATGTTTTAAATTTCAAGAGCGTATGTTTATTACTTTTTCTTTAATAATATTTTTATTAACCCTTTCTTGAAGAGCTACAGATTAACATAACGTCAAAAAAACACTGCAGCGACGTCAACTTACCTATCAATTGCAAAATCGATTAAATAACCAGTTATATCAAATTGTAATTACATTTTTATACCTATAATTTCTTAATTTTGTTTAATTTTAATAATAAAGCGAAAAAAGTTGCATTAAAACAGTAAATAGGCTTCATTTTACTATGATGCGCGAAATATTGCGCAATGGAAACTATAGTCGGCCCCCTTAATATCCATCCATTTTGATTTTTAATTTACCTGAACCAGAGCCTGATAACATGTATAAGTGAGTTTTTTTTCTGATCAATAATCAATGTAATTTTTTGTTGCCTTGGTCTTTTCCAAAACTAAGCCAATTTTGACAAACTTGCCACAAACCATCCTTTAAAAAAATGACAGATATTAAAGATTAGTCAAATGGAGGCACACACAACTTATAATGACAGATTAAAAATGGGGGGATGGATTATTTAAAAACTTTCAAAGGTATCACAATGGACCACATACGTTCGTAGACATTCAGTGATGTAAAGCAAATTTGCCCATTTTTTGTGGAACAAATGGTGGTCCAAATTAGAAAGTTTTGCTGTATATAAAAATTTCTATAAATCTATCTTTAAGGTCAAGATCTAGTAAATAACTTGAGGTCAAAATCTAGTAAATAACTTGAGACTATTTTTTTGGTGCTAGATCCATTATGACGTCATAATCAATTTCAACTTTCTTTTTCCCGTACTTTACGGCTTTAGCAGAATTATGTAGAAAATAGGATATTTTCATATCATTCAAGTTGAAATCATATGAAAAGTAAACCGGATACCTATATTAATTTTGATATTGATTTAAAGAAGAGGCCATGAACATACTAATTACCGTTTTCTGAGAGACTGTAGGCATCTGGATACATTTCCATTGCCGAATACAAAAAAAAATCCCATATTCATGATTGGTTTTCTTAATTTTTCATTGAAAATGACAGTTTAAAATACAGTTTTTCATCTTTTTTACCTACAAATTATGCCCCGAAACACCTTATTTGACCAAGCGTAAGTTGTAAAGCATCAATAATATTAGTTATCCAGGTCCAGTCAAGGGTGTACGGGGATTTACCCCGGGTTTTATTCCATACACCCTGAGGCCGAAGGGCGTATGGAATACAACCCGGGGTAAATCCCCGTACACCCTTGATTGGACCTGGATAACGAATTTATTTCCTTTGTACCCATAAAAATGCTGTGTAAACATCAGAGTGTGTCTCAATCTATATCGATTAGATAACTACGAACTACCATGTATCGTGACGTCATGTTATTTGGTTTTTATCATAGAGAATGTATGAATTGTGACGTCACGTTTTATTTACACCCGGCTCAAGTCGGGTGCACAGATATTTACACCCGACTTTGTAACCAATCAAAGCTCGTGTTACAAGCTAGATAGGAAATAAAGGAATTTATTTCTCAAGTTTGATAAATCTGTAGGCACCTTTCATTTACTAGATCTTGACCTTAAGTTAGAATAGCTTTCAGATTTGTCGTAATGACATCTATTAAAGCCTTTAACTTCATGCAATTCAGACTCAAATCATATTCAAGTTCTACAGGTATACTATACATAAATATGTTTAAATCATGGAATTCAATTTAAAAAGAGCTATAACACAGCCTTTTATTGATATGAATATATTCACTAGGAATAAAACAGTGTTCTTGGAGAGAATTGTGGCCCTGGTCTCTCATTTAGTTTCCTTCGCTCTTCTTGATCACTTGATTACTTGTATTCTATAGACAAAGTTTTTGAAGTTACTTTGTTTGCAATGCCTGTATAAATAAAATGAATGATTACTTTATTTACTTTTGGCAGCTTGTTATGACCTGAGCTCAGATTTTGCCTGCAGTGTTTGGTCAAACATGACCAGCGGATGTCAGAATGGGACCGATGGTTATGCAGACAGGATATACAACTACACAACCATCTTCTGCAGGAAAACCTGCGGGTAAGTGTCAGCTTGTGTTAAATCTGGATATCTCCTTGAATAGGTACTAGAATTCTTTTGTTTTGCAACGTGAGTCAGTGAAGAATTATTAGATGTACATTTCTGTTAAGAAATGGATCACTATGCTTTATTACAAGGTAAAATGTAAAAATATTAAAATACTTATTCATAAAAAGAGGAATTTTTTTTTTTAAATGTGTAAATTGTTTTGAGTTGTTCACTTATAAAATATTTTCTATTGTTTTTGTCTTTCATATTAATTTTAGAGGATTTATTTCAGATTTTGTTAGACAGTTGAGCCCAGTGTGTGAAGATTACCGGTATTTATTCCGTCCAGGATAATTTGCAATCAGGAGAAAATACTATTGTAAATTTTTGTTTTATTTACATGTATATGCATATATAGTACATCTCCTTCTTACATTTCCCCAAACTATTTTTTGTATTTGATTGTACGAGGGTTGTCCCAAAATTTCGTAGACTGGGCTCATATCTTTCAAAGAAATTAATGTATCTTTATAAAATTTTCAGGGTGGATAAAGTGTGTTCTTGACAGATAAATTACGAAGTTTTATCATGTTTACTTGAAAACTTTTCGAGAAATAACTTTTCAAGTGATATTGTTCTCTAACATCTGGAGCAATCTGCAATGTCAAAAAATACAAATGTCAACCGGTCAAATTTTTGGCGAAAATATTTCAATTACCAGAATCAAATTCTTAAATTAAACGAAACGATTATAGCTATAAATGTGAAATATCTTAATTACGATAATATGATAAAACTTTAAAATATGTTAACAAATTATATGCATGTACAGGTATGAAATAATAATTATTTGAAAACGCTATATTTAATAGGGCTTTTCGTCTGTTTCCTCTAATGGAGTTGCACAATGGAACTCTTGCCCATTTCTTAGCCCTGTCTTTATTTTAGTTACTGTTATTCACATATACATAGAGAAATAGTTTTTGTAATTTTAAATACTAAGGACGAGAAAAAGTTTCCTAGTTTACCAAACATTTATGACTGGTACATTTCTGTAAGAGTGAATTCAGGATCAAAACACTTGATCATAGTCCAGTGCGCCGCCTGTGCCAACGCAGCCGCTATTTTGAAAAAAGTCCAATTTCAACCCAAGTATATAAAACGTTATAAAATTCGTATTTATCAAAGCATAAACACCAAAAATTCAGGAAATATAGTTAATAAAACATTATTGAGAATTTTCATTTCCTTTAAAAAAAATACGGGGTAGTGATTACTTTTCTGTAGGATTTTAAATATAATATGGCAAGTTTTATTTGCAACTTTTGAGTATTGCGCCACCTTTCTACATTAGACAATGAAATGTGTCTTTCAAATTGGAATAATCTGTGTAGTTTCTCCATATTTGTCCATAAATTTATTAGATAGTATTGGTTTAATCTGTATATGAAGTTTCATTAATGTATGACATGGGGTTCCTACAAAGCAACACTTGTCTACGGAATTTTGGGACAACCCTCGTACTTTTGTTTTTTAATACATGAACTTGTAATTGCATTGTTATCTTCTCTATATTATAGTATAAACATGCTGTCTACATTCCAAAGTATTCTAAAACATATATTTTATACTGTAGACCTACTTTTTTCTACAGGGTCATAATTCCGCGGAATCTGAATTTCTGTTTAATCTGCGGGTAGAAAATTATGCCGTCTTCTTAGACTGTCACTATATGCCTTACATTTATAAATATTAAGTACGCTTGGAAAAATTTCCACGGAAAATTTTCGCCCACGTACATAGCTTAAATTAATACCACACGGAAAAATGTACTTCTACAGTATCTAAATACCATTAATTGTATACATCATTGAACGTATAATATTTTCATCATTTTATAGAGGAGGTGATTGTTTATTAGAAAGACCATTGAAATTTTCCTTTTATTTTTATTTAAAGGAAAATATGTTGTTTTTTTTTTCAATTTTTAAAGTATTTTTAATTCTTCTTTTATCCATCACAGAGATTTTATTCATTATTATAACTGTTTTGGAAAAGTTTTGTTTATTTTGTTTCTGTTTTATTTTGGCCCTTGTTGAAAGAAGGAGTTGAAAGGGGAAATATTCAAAGTAAATACAATGAAATCTGTACCAAACTGTGTCTCAACAAAGTACAATGTATAACAAGAGGCAGCATTGTTGGCAAGAGTAAGAGGGCAAAAATAACACAGGGCAAAAATTAGCTTGTTAAATATTTCTTCATATTGTTTTGATATTACGATTATACATACAAGCTGTTTTTTGGGCAGGTCCCACTTTTTCAAATTAGGATTTTCTTGTTGTAAAGAAAAATTAAATCCACATATTAAACACATTATCATATATTACTTTTACTTTATTTTTTGCTTGAAAATATCTGAAATTCACAGGCCTGTGCTAAAATGTAACAATAGCCTGTTACATGTAAATTTTGGATGGGTATATGAAAAAGAAATAGAATGGAACCAGGTGAGACCATGCTTTAAAAATTATTTGTTTGCAGTCACTAACCTAAAATAGAGTTGGTAGGTATGTAAGAAGCTTCAGAACTGCAGCTCTCAGAAAAAATATATATATTAACAGACCGGAGAGCTACAGTGCCACCAACTGAAAAAACTGTATATTTATTGTGCACAAAAATGCAATCAATTCTGGATTAATTCTTCTAAATTCTTGCTTCAGTTGCATAAAAGCTTCTTTTCAAAAAATTCCTTGCTCCTCTATCGAATACTAGTACTTTTGTAGTTGACATCTGTACGAAGCATGTAGGACCGCATTAACTTGCAAATCAAAATGGCAGAATAAATAGGCGAAATATTGGATTATCTCAATTTCAGGGCCAGGAGGGCTATTAAAAACCGTTGTTCGGAATGTTTTGTTGTGGAAACAGTGAACGAATATGTTAGGGACACACAGTTTGTAATATATTGTGATGACAGTTTTTAAAATCATGGAGAAATAAATCGAGAAATAGCACACTTTTTTGTGCACAATAAATATAAAGCTTTTTCAATTGGACACTGTAGCTCTCAGGTCTGTCGATATATATATTTTTTAGGTCACCTGAGTAAACTCAGGTGACCTATTGCTATCTGTTTTTGTCCATCGTCTGTCGTCCATCGTGCGTTAACATTTAAACATTTTCAGCTTCTTCTCTGAAACAACTGAACCAATTTCAACCATTTTTGGCATATAGCATTGATGGATGAAGGGGAAAAAAAATTGTGAATTTCATGGTGCCTGCCCCCCTGGGGCAAAAACCACTAAAATTAGTGCAATCTTTAAAAATCTTCTTCTTTAGTCCCAGACATCAAGCAGTCAAACTGTTGGTATGATTGTAATCAGCATTGAATCCTCTACCAAAATTGTGAAATTCATGGCCCCAGGGTCAGGGGTTCTGGTGTTAGGGCGGGGCTCAATTGATTATATAGTGAAAATGCATTATTTCTTTGAAAATCTTCTTCTCTGCTCCTGGGCATTAAATAAACAAATTAAGTTCATAGTTATGATGAGCAAGAGTGTCTCTACCAAAATTGTAAATTTTATGGCCCCAGGGTCAGGGGTTCTGGTGTTAGGGCGGGGCTCTATTGATTATATAGTGAAAATGCATTATTTCTTTGAAAATCTTCTTCTCTGTTCCTGAGTATTAAATAAACTAATTAAGTACATAGTTATGATGAGCAAGAATGTTCCTACCAAAATTGTAAATTTTATGGCCGTAGGGTCAGGGGTTATGGTGTTAGGATGTGGCTCTATAATGATTATATGGTGAAAATACATTACATCTATGAAAATCTTTTTCTCTACTCCTGGGTAATAAGCAGATGAACTATTTACATAGTTATGGTGGGCTCTTCTTCCAGAATTGTGAATTTCAACATGTTCAAGGCCCCTGGGTCAGGGATACCAAAATGGGGAGGGGGGGGGCTCTACTTATATACTGAAAATGAATTGTTTGAAATCTGCTCCTTGGTATTAATCAAACATTTTTGATAAGCAAATATGCTTTTTCAAAAATTGTGCAATGTGTAGACCTAGGGGTCAGGGTTTCATGTGTGGTAGGAGCACTCCTGATTATTGCTGAATATTAATGATTAGTTGACATACTTTTTTGTTCCCCTACCCTGCTTATTGGTATTAAGTAAACAAACTTAGCTAAGTGTATAGTTATGATTAGCAATGGTGCCTCTTTCAAAATTATGAATGTCATAGCATCTAGCTTAAAACATGAACCAAATTCAATCATTTGAAAGTTGTTGCATGATGCTCAGGTGACCTATAAGGCCCATCGGACTCTTGTTTTTGAGAGCTACAGTTCTGCAGTTGAATGTAAAGTGATTTTTCTTCTTTTTTTTTTTATTAAATTGAGTTTAGTTATCAGGTTCATTTCGTATACGTGGTTTCAGCTAGATAAAAATATAGAGATTTTCAAAAAAGAAAGACTTTAAATATTCTGAAAACTAGAAACTGCAAAAAATGCCCCCCCCCCCCCCCCCCCCCAAAAAAAAACGACTTAAACAAAAGTATCGTTTGGGTGTAAGTAAGCAACTACAAACATTTTTTTTTTTAAATATTTCCCCATTAAATAGGATTCGCCCTTCATCTGAACAATTTGTCCAAGGATTCTCTATGTCAAGAGTTTAGTCAGTTGAAAATGACCTTAAAAGAAAATTTGAAGAGTTTAATTACGGCAAAAACTTCAAGTTTTATCAGAAAATTTCAATCAAGTATTCGACTCAGGTGAGCTACACAAGTTTATTTTTTCACATGAACGTATCTTCCGGCAGTCAAGTGCTTTCTGCATACAGAGTTTATATCTCTCTGTCGATTCATTACGCAAGAGCATGCTTTACATATATGTACAATTTCTAAACAGAAGTAAATTATTGACAGATAAGTCATATTTAAGGTCATCATTTCGTAAGTTATGTGGTCGATACAATGATCCTGTCAGCAAATCAGTGGCGGATTTAAGGGGGCCGCACCCCCCCCCCCCATTAAATTATCAAAGTTAGCGTAAATCACAATTTCGTCTAGAAAGTGTAAATATGTCTACTTGGTAGACCTCTTTTTTACCCTACAAAAATCTCTAGAATCCAGAAGCTTCCGGGGGCTTCACCCCCTGATCCAGGCTTTGCCCTGGACCCAGTGGGGGCCTCAAGACGGCCCCCAGACCCCCCCCCCCCCGCCCCCTCTAACTTCAAATCCTGGATCCGCACCTGCAAATGCAATTTACCATTAATTAAATCAAATGCTGACTGGCATTTTTCATACTAATTCTTTGTCCATTTATACACTGAATTGACGACGCATTTTCCATTATTTCCAGATCAGGACAAGGAGCAAACGGGCGGGGGTGACCGGTCGGCAGGAGATGCTTACTCCTCCATGTCACCTGATCCCACCTCTTATGTATCGTGTTTGCTCTGATCCTATATTGTTTTGTTTAATGGACTTTTGAGCTTGAATATACTGTTCGTCATCTCCATATATTTTATATGCAACGTGTCCAAACTGAATATAACTAGATACGAGACTGGAAATGGAAGTGTAGGACAAACAATTTCACAAGTAATTTTTTTTTTGCTGATATTACCCCCAGGGAGACTCCCTCCCTGCTTTTTTTTTATTTTGCGGTAACCATAGGACAAGTTTCTAGCGCCCCTTCACAAAGAATGACTTTTCATACTCTCTTTGCTACGATCCTTGTTCTCTATAGAAGTTTGTCACAAATTCTTTGATTAAATTATTATATAATTTAGGACAGACAATTTTTTTCAAGAATAAATATTCACGAATGAAACCTTTTTCAGGATAATTCTTATGTATTTTTAAGTGCATTTTAAGCAAGTTATTAAAATACCTGTTTACAAACTGTTCAGACATGTACAACAGTTTAAATGCCAATAAAAAATAATGGAAAAATTCGAAAGAAAATGATTTTCAGTTGCAAAACAAGACACTCGACGTTGTCTGCTATATACTAGTAATCACCACTGTAGATTTGTACATGTCACTGACAAATGTTCAGTGTAGTATACATTTTAAAATAGATTTAAAGTTTCAAACAATACTTTATTAGAACATATTTAACTGTTCAATATGATACTTATAAAAATTCGCTGATGCAAAGTTCATGGTCACTCTGGCTCAATAGTAATCTTCAGCTTCTGTATCTATACGGCTCTGTGATGCTTTGTGAGCTAGGCTCTCCATGCTGGTCAGTCTGAAATCAAATTTAAAAATATAAATAATTTACTCATATAACTCATCAATAATAATTAAAATTACAATAATAACAATTGTATAAATATTTTTAAGGAGTTTGCACCTAAAACAAAAATCAATTGGAATAAAATAATAGTACCTGATGCTGAACATACCAGTGTGGAAATTCAGCCACTTGCTTAAATTTTCCTGCTCCTGGGAGAGGGCGCTCAATTTCAAAGCTATAAAAAAGCAATATTTATAATAAGTCGTTTGCTTCATTTAAAAACCCATTGCTTATTAGCTACTGATTAGTGTTATATATTTTTTTTTTACTTATATGGATTTCTTTGGGTGAGAGCCGAGGTGTATCTCGGCTTCCTCGGCATAGTTCATCAGAGCTGTTAAAGCCAGTCTCATTTGCACATTCTCTGAAAATGTAATCAAAGAAAAAATAAATATACAATCCCTTTTAATTGAATTGTTTTGCGGTTCAGTTAAAATATGAAATGCCACTGTAAAATGGCAGATGCACAGAAAGTAGAATGAAAATGAAACAAAATTAACCTTCTGCAAGATCTGCGATTTTTCTTCTGAGGTCTTGTATTGAAGTGTTGAAAATGTAGGCCTATGTTGTGAATTATGGATCCTTGTACTTCAAAAAGTTCTAGCGATATC